AAATTCCTCAGATTTCTATACTGGATGTGTTCCATAACATACATTTAGCAAGCACATAAGGTCTTCCTCTGCTGAAAATGAGCACTAGACAAAATGTATTAATTCCTTTCAGAAATAAACAGAAATGACAAGTCAGCCATCAATGCTCTCATAAAATTAGTACCTAATACATGTTAATTTGTTACTAGAAATGACGTGCTTACAATCCTTATTCTAACAGACATAACTCACTTCATATCAATCATCACTTTGCTGTTCTGTTTAGCTGCAGACATCAATCTTAGTGATGTTCACATGTATCTTAAACTCACAGAATAGATCTATATTTCTTTTGTAGACAAATCCCAACACCACAAATTAATTCATGTGTAAATCAGCTTTACAGCTCTCTGACCTCAAAATCTGCTCTAGAACAAAATAATATTCTTAATGTCACAAACAGCCTTCTGTAAACAGGGAAAGCCACTTTCATCTTTCCTCCCAGACAGCTCAAGTTCAAAGTTTGGGTTGCTGGAAGTGTTTTGAGAAATAGACCCAATCATTTCCCACTAAGAAGTCTTAAGAAACTATGCATGTAATTACTTCTGAAACTTTCCGACTGCTTACAAATGACACATACTGCAAGTCTAAGCAGATGCTTATAGAATGTTTCCTTGTTCACCTTACATAGTTGAGAGTTAAGACAAAACCCTACCAAATAGTATAACAACTTTGAGACGTTAAGACAGAGTTTAGCAAAACTTTGGCAAAATGTACTCAAACTGGCAAGTTGAAGATGTCATTATAAACACAGCACACAGCAACAACAAAAACAAGGATTCAATTCCACCTGCTATTAAAGCTCAAAACTTCCCGCTCAAGAATTGCCATACCAGCACCCCCAACTTTAACCTGACTTCCAGCTAAGTTTGATGTGAAACCTGGCAGTTTTCCTTATGAATGTCCTTGGAACAGTTAAAACTTCCTTTACGGACTGTGCTAAAAATGTGTAACAGTTTGCTAACAACAAACACAAAGTTGGAACAAGTTATCACAGTGCTCAAGTACAGTGACCCAACTTGTGTTGGAGATTAGCACGTCAATACGTTTCACTACCAAAGCAAGAACACAGAAAACAATTCACCTGCATTTGTTACATCCATTTTCACAGCTGGACAAAACTCAAAGTCAGAGGGGTTACAACACAGCCATCAGGAGATAAGCACCCTGCTATTACATCAGAGAAAAATCTCCATCCCTCCTTCCCTCCCACACACACCTGCACTTATCCAGCCTAGCCAGCTTGAGGTTGCACTCCTATTCTTACCAGGATAAGGGGAGGAAACAATCACTCCTGTATCATCGTGCCTTGCTCCATTCAGCAGTACCTCAGTAGCCTGGTCAATAAGCAGACGTTAATCACAGATATTTAACTGATACATGGGGACCACAGCTGGCATACCCAAGAAGTATCAGCACCCCCACAGGACTTGGCTCAGGCACTCCAGACCACCTGGCATAAACGAGGGCAGCCTGGCCCCTCTGAGCTAGGAGAGTATGCCATGCTTAAAGGAATGCTTCCACAACAGTTCCAGTACAGAACAGCTATACCGGAACTATTCTAGAAGTGTACTTAAGCTACAGGCAGGTGAACAACATGAAAAGGAAAGAATGCAGCCTTCCTCAGCCTTACACCTAGCTTTCAGAAGATTCACAGCTGAAATATATCAGAGCTCTGGCTATTATTTGAGAAAGAACTGTAACGTCATGAGTGGCTCTACTGCAAGTTAGAACATAACAGCTGTTAAGTAACATTTAGTAATGGTACAGAAGGAGTTACAGGCCTCCCCTGTTACTTATCTTTCTTTGTAACTACTCTAATCTTCCATGCTGCTTTATTTCATTGTACAGAAGGGTATTCTGCAGGCACAAAAGGATCACCCATATCTTTACATGCACACCCTGTCAGCTATGTTGTTCCATTCCTAAAATACCTAAGCAACTTAACAGTGACATACTCTTGTTTCCCTCACTAATGATGACACAGCTACCTTAAAGGCCATTTATTACATGTGCGCTGCTACACTTCTGACCCTGAGCAAGTTAAGCAATAACCCAATACTTTTAAGATTATTATGCTACATACTACTGAAAATATAGACAGAACCATCAAATAAAATTCAACAGCACTAGGAGTGGAGGAATGGAAAACGGAACGCCAAACAGCATCACATCCTCAGTTTCCATCTCTGAATGCATCTGGCAGCACCGCATCTTCAATGAAACAGCTCAGTAGCTTACTCCTACCCCTCCCCTGTAAGAAAGTCAGAACAGCAGATCTGCACCTGCCAGCTTACAGCACTGTCAGCCTTCCCAGCTCCTAGCTGGCTTGCAGAAGCAATTTGAACCAATACTGCCACATGGCATCTGCTAGCTTTGTTTAATCATGCTTAGTTCCACCCTTCTGTTTCAAAATTAAGTGAGAGTTGTTAGAAGTTGTTCAAATAGCTCAACATCTAATTGCAGCACTAAAACCTGATGCAATTGAGACCTGTGTTTAAGCCAGTACTAACTCTGCCCGTCCCAGTGATAGTCCCCATCCATGCAGTAATGCAGACCTACATTCTGAAGTTCAAGCTACCCTTCAGATCTAATCATATAAAATGTATCTATGTATTAAAGAAACCCCACACTGCGCAAACTCCAGCCCATCTGAGGCTCAGCCCCAAGCAGAAACACGTCCCACTACCAGAAGACGCGTTAGGAGCGAGCACGGTGCAGGGCACGGGCTCCGCGCGGAGAGCGGCCCAAGGCCGAGCGGCCGCCCGCCCTGCCAGGCGGCCAGAGTCCCCCCGGCGGCCCGAGGTACCCGCAGCCCGCCGCCGGGCCCCGCCGCCGCATTCCCGGCCACGCACACGTCGGCCGTGCCGCAGCGACGAGCGGGGTCGGCGGCCCCGAGCCCGCAGCCCCCCTCTGCCCCGCATAGCTGCGGGCCCGGGCCGCGCGGGCAGAGCGCGGTCACCGCTCCCGGGAGCGAGCGGCGGGCCGGGCGGAGGGAACGGCGCTACGGCCCCCACCGCCCTCACCCCGCAGGGGTTGGCGACCGCCCCCGCCATTTTGAGGAGGGGGGAGAACCCGGGGCCTCCCCCCATGCCGCCCGCGGACGGCTCCCGCCGCCCGGCCCCGCGCGGCCTCGGCGGTCCCAGTGGAGCTCCCGCTGCCGGTCCCCGCCGCCGCCGGCCGCCCGGCGGGCTGCGCTACCTGCCGGCTCGGGCCGTTGGCGGGTCGACCCCGCGCGCCGCGCCGCGTCCCTTTCCGCCATCTTGTCCGGGTTTAAAATTAACTCGCCGTGACGTCAGAGCTCCGCCGCGAGACCTTTATCGCCCGGCGGCGGCGCGCGGGGCGCGGGCAAGGCGGGTCCTAGCGCCTTCGGCTGCCCGCCGCGGGAGGGGCAGCGCATGCGCAACCCGCAGCCCTGCCGGTGGCGGGAGGAGAAGGGCGCATGCGCGGTTTGCGTTTGACGGGCCCCGAGGTGTGAGGGGGCTGTGTCGGCGTGGGGTGGGCAGGAGGGTGCCGCCGCTTCGGGCTCCCTGGTGCCGTTCAGCGCCCGGCTCTGCCCTAGCAGCTGTTCGGACTGGCTGCGGAAAGGCTTTAGGCCTGCGAGGTTGCCTGTTGGTAGAGGTCACGTCATACATTTCAATGGTAAATCAGCATGTGAGCCAGGCAACAGCGTTGCTGAAACCCCCCTGAGTGCAGCAACGCTCCTTGTGTAGACCTTACCCTTCTCAGGGCCCTGAGCTCCCCTAGCTGAGCTGGTTCTGGAGACACGGCTTTGAGTGGCAGCAAGCTAAGAACACCAATGCCTAAACAGGTGGAAGGAAAAGTCAGACGAGGTTGAAAACCAACGTGTTCTGTTGTAGCCCCAGCGAGCGCTTTCTGAACCTGCACACCCTGCTTTCAGCTGGGCACAAGGGGCTTTGTGTCACTGATACCTGGCACGCCGCTGACAGGCCTTGCCTCCAGCAGCTCAGTGTCGGAAAGAGATGGCATAACCACAGCAGCTGAGTGCTGTAGAACGAGAACAGTGGCTTGTATGAGTCGCTGTGAAACTGACAAGAAGCATTCTACTATGCTGTATTTAAGCCAGCACAAATGGAAGCAGAATGCTCTGTATAGAAGTGCAGAGGAAAACACTGCCATTGGCCTTCTGCAGTTTAATATCCCCCACTTATTTGTGGCAGCTTGCTATGGAAAGTAAGTGCGTCACTGCCTGTCCTTCTCACCTCAGCCCAAGTCAAAAGGCAAACTTTCCTTGACATCAGAAAGAAACCAGAACACACTCTGGATTTGTGACTTTCAAGAAAGGAGGGATTTGGGGGTATTTCAGACATACACAGATCAGGCAAATGGAAAAGCCCTGAAGTAAAACACATGGAAAATCAGAAACCCTGTTAGTATGACATAGTTAAGATTCAGCAGCTCAGTATGAATCTAAGGAGCTGGGAAAAAAAAAAAATTAAAAACAATAAAGATGGTTCCAAGTTCTGTTGCTAGTAAACAGTCTTATTTCTGATCAAGTCTAAAAGAGTTCATGCAAAGAAGACTTTGAAATACTGCATATACAGATGGATAGATTTCTGTTCCATGCAGCAGGATTTACTGCTGCTGTAATGTGAGAACAGATATTAAGAACGCAGAGGTCAGAAAGCTCAACCTTAATTCTGCTCTGTTCACACGAAGAAAGGAGACATTTTCCAAGCTGAGGATTTTGCCTCAGGAATGCAGACTTGCAGACTCCTGTCTGCAAAGGTCCCCACCTCCACCACTCTCCCAGTTGCTTGCTGCTTGCCTCTAACCAGGCTTCTTAAGCCAAACACTGATTTCATACTGAGAAAGCCCAGATCAGATTCAGATTCTTTACACTTTTCCATATACAATTATCCTCTGTCACCATCTCTAACCTGTATGCTGCTTGTTTAAGGTAACCTGCGCAATGACAAATCAGCAAGCCTAGAACCTACCTGAGTCACTGTAAACACTGTGCTGGCACTGGGGAACGGGGCAGTCTCGCATCCTGAAGGGCTGAGGGTCCTGGGTCGAGTTGGAGAGGTTTCTGTCAGAGGTACTGAGCTTAGTGATATCTTTCCTCATTTGCTTGGGGCTTTAGAACCAAATGAATGATAAGACAAGTTTCAGCCTTTCCTCCAGGCTGCAGAGAGGTATAGAGAGAGCTGAAGAAAGCCAGCTGTGAGATAAAGGTGGACTTCTGGCAGCCCCCTCAGCAACAAAACATGTCTGGTGAGCAGTGGCTGCTCTGCTCTGGTCAGATAGTCAGCTGCTATCTGACCAGCAATCACTGAAGGAGCCACGTCACGTAGATTTCCAAACAGTCTCCCATTAGGAAATCCACCCAGATCTCAGGCTTGCTCAGAGAGTCAAGCATGTTCCCCTCACAGCTAGGACAAACCCTGCAAGACACCTTGTCTTCTTTTTCCATGTGAAGGCTACCCAAGCTATAGCTGACTCTGTAAGAAAGCATGCTCCCACAGACACATCCTGCTAGGTTCTGCCTGAGCTGTTTGGCATTTGCCTCACCACCTCACTGAGGATTCCAGCCTCACAGACAAGCTTGGTTTCCAATGCATTTTTTCTCACTGATATTCACTGTTTTGCATGGCAACCTCTTGAACTGAGGGATGTCTGCAACCATCATGCAGGTGATCTCAGACTTCTTGTGTGTCTAATTTAGAAAGTGCCCACCACAGCCCTGAGCTTGTACCTATTTGTGTGTTTGCTGTGGTGGGTAGCAAGCACGCAGCTTGGGGTTTGCTCAGGCAAAACCAAGATAGTGCTTAACAAAGATCCATACTTGGTTGGATGCTTTCAGCAGTGCATGCTGAGCATGGAAACATGGGATAGCAAACCTACCTGGGCAAGCAGCTCCCCTGCAGAGCTCTGAAAAAGCAGAGAGGCTATTGGGAGCAGAAAGTGAGTTAGGAAGGGGAAGAAAAAAACAGTTCACCAAATCCCCTGAACCTGCAGCTCTTCTGCATGCTCAGTGGAGACAGCATTTCAGCTGGCAGCAGTGCGTGCTCTTAAGAGGCAGAGAGCAGCCCCTCACATACCACTCATTTATAGCAAGCTGAGTGGGAGACGCATCCCATCCCCTCTGGTGATGACTCAAGAGCTGCTCCTCTGGGGAAAAAGGATGAAATAACGTTGAATTTTAGCTGTTGTTAGAGCAGCTCAGAGCATGTTGCTAGGCACCAGCTGCAGAAATTGCCTGCAGGTGCTTTCACAGGAGGGATTGGGCCACTTTGCTGGTCTCTCCCAAGACAAATCTGGGTTTGCAGCCTGAGTACCTTTGAAGCTGGACATAATCCATTTTCAGCCTCAAGGAGTTGTTGCACAATCTTCCCAAGATTAAGGGCTTACATCAAGAGGCTGTGGCACTGCCAGAGGAAGGACAATGGACAGACTCCAGAGTAATGCTTTGGTTTAGGTCTCCCCTCTGAGAGATGGTGGCAATTCCAGAAGTGCGTATGGAGAAGGAGTCTTCTGCCCTGACTTCAGGATGGTTGAAGTTTTCAGAGGAGTGAACAGCTAAGTGATTTACTTCTGTTGGTGGAAATGAAGATCTCCAACCAGCTGAAGCTTTCATGTACAAGCATTTCCTCAAACCAACTTCTGTCATTTGGGTCTCTACAAACACAGTGCAAATTCCATCTCACTGTTAGGCAAAAGCATAATGGGATGAGGACAGTTCAAAAGCCAGGGCTAGAAAATGACTCCCTTACAGGCTGCTTACAGAATGCTAAAGAACCTGCAGCAAAGAGAAGCTTCTCTGCCTACAGTCATTGCACTGCCCCTGGCCTCACCCCGAGGATGTGTCTGCCTTGGTTTGTGACCTGCCTCTGTGTTCAAAAATGACACCAGCCTGGGAGTACACACACATTAAATGCCAGCATGATGCTAACTTTTCCACACGAGTTTTTAACTGCTTTTTCTCACTTGATGTGGGTCCCTCTATGTACCTCTGGGGTTAAAGGCCCCTTTGTTGTCATTTCCTAATAGCTGCTTAGCACAGGAAAGCCACCACAAATAAGCTCACCACATCCCTAGACTCTTGCTCCCAAACCTCTTGTCCTAGAAAAAGAGGAATTGCTCCAGCTGTCAGTATGATGCCCATCAAACATCACACCCCCCACTGGAGCCTCTCTCCACAGCATAGAGTTATTTCTGCTCTGCTTAATACAAACAAGACACGTGGCTCAGGGAAGGAAGAGACCCCAGTGGTGTCTACGCGATGCGTGGTACTGTGCTTCAGTACACGCTGCTGGTGCTTTTCCTGCATGATGCAGCAAAAAAGATGTGGATACCAGAGCCAATTTGAGATGAAAGTACCCCATCATCACATGAGCATCAGTGTTGATTCAGAGTCTCATTTGAAAAAAAAATGCTTAGTAGACATTTTATTATTTAGTGTAATACAGTAAGACCAATTGCTTAGTCCAGTGCTCTTTTTTTCTAAGAAACATTCCTGTCAGCACAAGTTTAACTTTTAGACGAGGTTATTTTTCCTTGTAGATGAACTGGTCTTTGGTATCACAAGCTATCTCCTCTGCCACAGGGAAAAGCATCACTGTGGTACTGATTTGAATAAAGCGGTGCAGCTTTATACCCAGGGAAGGTATTTCACATCGAGCCCTGTGGACGCAGGCCTGGCTCTGGGTTGTTTGCAGGACTGAATGTGACTGGCCCACTGTACAAAAGGTGCTCATTACAGAAGAGTTTATTTGCATCCTTCACAGCTACGTGACTCGGGCCCTGCTGGGCGAGATTTACAGGTCCCTTAAGAAAGTGGGTGGTTCATTCCCAGGGTTTCACGTGGTTTCTTCGCCTGCAGGTCCAGACTGGCTGCACAGTGATGAATTAGCTCAAAGAGGGATTCTTCTGTGAATTCCCACGACACCAAAGAAGCCAAGTTGCAGCTCTCATGATCCTTTCCAAGGAAGCAAACTCTCACCAGCCCTGTCCCCCACATTTCCATCCCCACACCCCCGGATGCCACATCAGGACAGACCTCGGTGCAATATAACCACAACCTACTGTGCTCAACTCTCCTCAGTAAGAGAAGATTTGGGTTGTTGTGGGCTTCCTCATCAAGCTCACAGGTAGCAAAGCCCAAGCCTCAAAAATGTAATAGTCACCAGCAGGAGCTGGTTTGGGACTCAGTTCCAACAGTGCCTTGGTCTCTGGGGATCTCCCACCAGCACTGTGGGCTTATGACAGGATGCCTGAAGCACAAACATCCTCCAGGAAAAACAGATAGCCATGCTCTGCTTTGAGCCAGGCCCAGGGCTGGGGCATAATCCTCAATACACCAATGAAACTGCTTGGATTCAATCTCTGGCATTAAATCAAAACCTGGGGCTGAGACTAGACATGAAGTATCAGACCAGCTTTGCCGTCTGCCTTTCCAGATTCAGTGAAGCCCTGTGCCAAGCCTTGGACACAAAACAGAATGTGTTGCTTAATCACTCTGGATTAGCATGCAAATTTAATTTACGTACTTTCAATGAAAACGAATATATGCATTCAGTTTTTCTCCAAGCATCTTTCAGTGTGCCTGAATTGTGGGCCTGCACCACGGCCATAAGCACATCCTGCCTGGACAATCTTCTGCATAACCTACTCTAGGGAGCCTGCTTTAGCAAGGGAGTTGGACTTGATGATCTCCAGAGGTCCTTTCCAACCCCTATGATTCTGGGATGGGGCTGAGATGAGGGTCCTGTTGTCTCTGGCTTTATACTGGCTTAATGGAGTGGTCCTCCTGCCTCAAAATCTTTCTGTGTGACAGAGGAGTGAGAGGACAGGTCAGACCATGGGCAAGGCATAGTCACAGGGGGGGGTACCTGATAGCTCCAGTCCTGCTCCAGTACCACCAAAATGAAGCACACAGAAGCACAGCACATCTTTGTTACTGGGGACTGCTTATGCAGAGCATGTCTCCAGAAAGACCATTTTTCCAGAAGTAAAATAGGCTTAGCTGCCATCATTGGCATTTGTTCCATGTCAGAAAAACAGAGAGAAGAGGCGTTTCATTCCTTACCTGATTCACCCCATCCTGTGTAAATGCAGCCTGGCTGCATTAGAGGGCTAGCTGCCCAAACTCAAATTCATTTGAGATCCAGAGATTAAGATACAATCATTTGATCTCAGATTAAATAGTGGATGAACACCACAAAGAATAGCTTAAAACATTTGGAAAGGTGTTAAGGAAAATCAAGCAGGATTAAACAACAAAATAGAAGCATTAAGCCAGAATGCCTCCCTGGATCACATGAAACTAGGCACCAAAGAGCACGCTGTGCCGCAGCTTAGCAGCACTTGGGTGTTGAGCAATTCACTGTAAAGGAAAAGCAGGACAGCCTGATATCAGAGACAGGTAAGCTGCATGTGCCAGTGATCTGCCAGTTTGGGGTCCCCACTGCCTCTTGTGTGGAGCAGAAGGGATGGCAGGAGACCCAGCTTATGACTCCCACCTGCTTTGTGAGAAGTTCTGTGAAGGACATGAAGGTGAAAGGTGCTTGGCATTATCCCCAGCTTTGTTGTTCCTGTATCAGCACCAGCTTCCATTTCCTAAGCCAGTTCCTAGCACAGCCCTGCTGCTTGCAGCCTTTGGACCTCAGAGCAGAGGGAGGCAGAGCAGCAACAGGTGAAACCAAGAACCTCATTCCTGCAGCTTCACAGAACCACACGGATGCCCAGTTCTGCACCTATTAATGCAGGATTTAGCAGGGCAGAACACAACTAAGGGATAACTCAAGCCATGTTTGCAGCATCCAGCCACCCCCCAGTGTTTCTATTTCTCGCTCTTCAAAATGAAAACAGGAATTTGACAGGCCCTACATCACTTTGTTGAGGTGCTCTCCATCACCCTCAGGGGAGAACAGCCAGCTGCCAAATACCCTTATTAGGAAGAAAATATCCAGCAAAAATAGGCTAACTAGCTGTAAATGTGTGCTAAAGGAAGGCAACTCAGGGCAGCAAGGCTTAGACTCAGAGCACAGCACGACCACTTTCCAGGTTTGCTCTGGGAGCTCTCCCCACACCGCAGGTACAGCCTCTCCTGCTGGACTTGGCCTCTATTTCCTACGACAAAT